GTAATTCCAATATTATTGATCTTTGCGATCCTTCCTCTTCTTCTAATCACTCTCAGTTTCGAAATATTATTTCCTCTTTATAATTTATCAGTCCATCCTTTATGGAACGAATATTTTCTTATGCCTTTTCTGATAGTCTTGTTATCCATCATCTCAAATTTTACTTCCCCTATCATTTTTCCAAAATGATTCGTCCTCCACTGAAAATATCTTTTTTGTGAATATTTTTCCATAAACATTACCTTCTCTTTATTGCAATGGTTAAAATGGTTTAAACAATGTTTATGACATCCTCTTTTATATCGCCATTCAATTACTTTTCCATTTTTTTTTCTTGTTTCGATAAGGGTACTCTTCTATGATCTTATAGGATGTATTATCTGTTCTTCTTTGGGTTTCATTTTCAGTTTGTCAGATTCATTTCTTCTATATTTGTCTATTTCAACGAGTCCATTACATAGTCCACATCTTCGACCCCTTCCTCCATTTGTTTGTTCATGTATTTTTTGTTCAATATATTCCAGTTTCACTATCTGTTCATAATAAAGATTTCTAAAATATTTATTTAATAATATTACGTTTCTTGAAAGATTCCAATCTTTGGGTTCGTAATTTCTTTTTCAAGAATACATATTTGCATATGGTGTCCATACAAATCTTTTTGATCTTTGTACTATTGATTCTTCTACCATATATTTAATTATTAACGAAATTACCTGTCTAATATTATTACTCCTTTTTCTCGTTTCTTCATTAATGTTATAAATGTTATTCCATCTCTTACATGTTAATAAAATATTAGGTGGTCCCATTTTGCCACATATCTCCCAAATATCTCTTAAGGTTATAATATTTTTATGTAATTGTACATGTGAATATTTATCATATTGTCGTGCTCTAATAACAGTACTTCCTTCTCTTTTAAAGAACTCTGTTTTTTGTTGTTCTCTCTTATATGCTTCTATATGTTCTTTTGTTATTTTGTAGTATTTGCACATTTCACATATTATTTCCATGATCTCGTTATCTCTACTCTTTTCTCTTTTCTCAATTTTTTTCAATCTTTCTTCATATTCACAATACCCTATCATTCGTATCAATATTTCAGTTGGCATTCTGTTAATGAAATCCTTTTCTCCAATCACATCATTTTTTTCAATCTTTATTTGTTTATTGTTTATTTGGATCTTCATTATTCTGTTCACGGGTACTTCTAGTATTTATTGTTTATTTATTTATTGTTTAGTATTTATATTGCACTTATTTGTGTTAACCGTTGGTTTTTATCCTTTTTTAATTTCTTACTTGTTGGTTTGAGATTTTTCCATGTCCTTTATTTATAGTTTCAGTGTACCATCGTCTCCCTCTAACTATTATCATGTCTAATAATTCTCGTTCTTTTGGTAACAATCCTCAGAATTCTTTAAGTTCTTATTATCATTCTTCTGCGTCTTCTTCAAACAAAAGACCTCGGGAAGATGATGATTATGTTCTTCAAAAGAACATTGTTAAATTATCACTTAACCGTTTCGAAAAGATCATTGCTGAGTTCAGAAAAACTAGTACAAATATTGAGAATTTTAATAAAGTTTCTCAAGATTCTCTTAATTTAATTTCTAAGCAAATAGAGACTTCAAATAGTCTTTTTAATTCGATTAATCATTTTAACAATACTGTTGAGCAGTCTATTAATGCTCTTAGTTCCCGTATAGATTTTATTGCCTCTCAAGTTTTTTCAATGGGTTCTCGTATAGATTCTCTTACTAATATTGTTCATGCATATCATCAAATATCTCAAAAGTTAGCAAATGATAATTATACTCTTCTTCTTATGATTAGTTAGTGCCTTCCTTTGAATCTTACTTTGTTTGATTCAAAACCCCCTGTTTCAAAAAATGATGTAATCATTGTTGATAATAATGAATTTAATTTCACTGATGAGGCTTTTGACTTCTCTTTTGAAAATTATAACTCTTCTAGTCTCAAATGACCTAAATATTTACAATATTATCTCTTTTTTAATTATTGTTTTCAATTTATTATTTAATAGGTTCTTTCGTTATCACTTGTTTAAATTTTTCTTTCTTGTGTTCAAATAAATCTTATCTTATTCATTCCTTCATAAATTAATAATTTTCCAAAATGGGTTTTGGCGAAGGAAGAAATGATCACTTTGATCCTTCTCATCCTGGAAATTTCCTTCTGTTTTGTGATTCTTCTTACGAGTTTTGTCATAAGACTTGTTATTTATTCCTTATTGATCATGAGAACACTATTATAGGTTCATTCCACTATCGTACTCTTTGTGAATGGTTAAAATTTCGTTTTCCTGGCATTTATAGGCAAATTAAATTCCACACTTCTTGATCTTATTTGGTTTAATTTCCTTTTTTTTGTGTTATCTTGTCATGTATAAATATGAATTTTTATTCTGCTTTCCTTCTCATGGATTCAATCTCTCTTGATTTCCTTGTTCACAATATTATCAAAGATCTTGATTATCTTACTCTTCTTTATAATTCTTGTGACCCTTCTTCCATTTCTCAAATATATCTTTATCTTATTCTTACTAAAATCTTTGAGTGTCAGCACTCTCTAAACCTTATCGAATTTTATACCAACTATTGTTATATTTTTGAATTCGATTCTTTCATTTGATTTGATACCATAGTCCTTATTGATCCATAATGTTTATTTCATCTCTCATCTTTCTCGCAATTTGTTCTATCCCTGTGTCTATCATTTTCCTTACTCATCCTGACCCTCCATCTATAGTTCTTCCTTATTTTAATTTTTTAAATTTCTTAGAACAATTTGTTTGGATAACTTTTCAATTCCCTTATCGTTTTCCTCCAAATTCTTTCTTTCACTTCCTTCAAAATTATGATTATCTGTATTTTCCTCACTGTAACAGTCCTGGGGTTCCTTCCATTAACCATCTGGCCTCTCCTCATACTTATGGTTTCTCTTATTTGTTCTTGTTTAACCCTCGTTTCCATGCTGCTGCGGCTGGTTTTTTGGGTCCTAATCCTCCTGTTTCAAAAGTTCTTCTTTTTTTCGGTAAATTTTATTGGTACCAATCCCGGGGTTACATTGATTTTACTTATCATGCTTCTTCTGAGATGTTAAACATTTTTTCATTTTCTACTGACTCTGTCGGTACTGAAGATTTCTTTACCATGAACAACTTTATTTTTTATCTTCGTGATAACTATTTTAATTATTCTTTTACTTAGCTTATTCAATATGTTATCATGCTTATTCTATACCTAATTATCTCCTTTGGAGTGAAGGTATAGGATGGGCTTTACCCTCGTAATCTTAAAATGATTTCTTTATTATCTTCTGAAATCTACAATAACTCTTTTAATATTTTCAATACTCTATTTGAAAATATTTTATTATATCTTTATTATTTATACGAATATACATATTTCTTCATATCTTCTCATCATATACCATTGCTTATAATCTTTCTTATTGTCTCCTCTTGATTACTTATTCATGAAATCTTAAATTTATTCGGTTACAAACCATCTATCTATGATTCTCGTCATAAGTTATTTTATCGAAATAACTTTGAATACCACTTCCTGTCATTTATGGATCCGGAATATCCTGGTTTCTCCTACCTTAACCTGGTGTACTTTCAATATCGTCCTACAGTTGCCCGTACTCTCGGTCATTCTTCTTCAGTTAAAGATCTAATAATCTATCTTTCGAAGCATAATGAATTTATTGCTCTGGTGAACATGTAGCTTATGAAGTTGTTAATCTTAACGGTGTTTCTTTAATTTCTTTTACTCTTTATGATTCTCACTCTTGGTTAGATAGGGGAGATGAATTATTTTGTATCGATAAAGCTTTATTTCTTATCAGTTATCATTATAGTGATGGTTTTATTTCATAAAATAGTTTTATTATTCAAAATGTATTTATTATCTTTATTATCATTAAAGTTAAAATTATTCCAGATACAAATGATATTAAAAGATGCTTTATCGAAAAATTAAATGTTTCTTTGTCTTCTATATGTCTTATAAGATCAATAACCAAATGTTCTATATCTATTAATATGATCTCCAGTTTCGTTCAATAAGCAGTCCATGTTGCTCCTCTTGTGAATCGTCCTCTAGTCAGTACTACAAGTATTCCTATCATCTTTTCTTGTAGGTCTACTAAAGTTCCTTTTAGTTTTCGAACGATACTTGGTCCTAAAATTCATTTATTTTTAGGGTCAGTTTATGTCATCGTTATCAAGATTATCTAAAGAATGTTTACAATGGTCATCCATCGTATATCAAGTCTAATTACTTGACTGATAACTTTCACAAATTGTGACCTCGATGAGCTTTCAATTTAGACTTTCTACAGCCGTATTCATCAAAAGAACCCAGTTAAAACCTCCCTCCAGGTTAGTATATGGCATTCCACATCTCTGAGGGCTATGTGTGGCAGCGTAACTTTCGGACTGTAAATAATTCTACAAACTCAGTAAGTAATTAACTTACCAATCTTTACTGCATCCCAATTCTTCACTTGTATTATAAAGGATCTTCCTGTCATAGTTCCTTCAATATCTATACTATTATCTCCTCTTCCTCCAACATTTCTTGAGTCAATCCCCATTCTTTGGAATTCTTCATAAACTTGATTTTCAAGAATGTTTCCTTTAGCAATGGTTGAAATGGCAGTCATTTTTTAGTATTGCTATTTACCTCTCCTTATTTGTCTCCGTTGTGTCATTTTTATCCTAATATTAAAGTTTAGTTTCTTTGTCAGGAGGTGAGTTTATTAATCATGGATACCCCTTTATTATTTTTCAAGGAACTGCGCATGTGGCGTTGCCCTTAACAATTAACATATGTTTTATTGTCAATTATGGTTATCAATAATGTGTGTCTTGCAGTCAATGACTTTTCCTTTTCCTTTTAGATTATCTTGTCTTCTTTTTTTTATTATAAAACGTTCTCTGATTTTTGTCTAATTTCATATTCAATATGTCTAATAACAATTCTGCCTCTTCCTCTCCTAAATCTCTCTTCTGTATTGATTCTCCTGACCTTATGGATCCATCTTTGGATTCTCATCAACCTATTTCCTCTGACAGGTAACAAACATTCTTAATAGATTGTATTTCTTTTTAGTTGTATATATTCTTATCTATCCGGAGGATAAGTAAATATGTATAATTGAGAAGTTTCATAATCTTCTATTATATCGGCAGTATTTCACTTGTATTTTTGTTCTTTCTGAGACAAATACTCTGTGTATACTCTCATACCTTTGTTCTTTCTGAGACGGGTGTGAATATAATAGTTCTTACTTGTTACATCTCTTTCTTTTTATAGTGCCGAGATTATTAATAATAGTCTTGCTCATGTGGAAAGTGAACTCCGTTATATTCGTTCCTACTTTTTCACTATTTCTACTATTAGCAGTAGTGACTGTCGTAATTGTTCTCGTCTTGATGATATTATAGGAAATATTCGTGGTGATATCTTCGAAACTTTCCCTAACTTCTTTCAGAGTCATTCTACTTGTCGTTTGGTTCGAGAAGTTTTAAATTTTACTCAACAGACTTATACAGAGCTTGAAGAGGCTCGTCAAAAAATTAAAAATTTAGAAGCTGCTAAAAATGAACGTGATTTTTTCGATGGTCTTCAAGATTTCTTTTAATAAAGTCATAATCATCTTGTCTCATCTTTAAATCTCTTCTCGTCAACTATCATGTATTTTCTCTCTTTTTTTTAAAAAAATATCTTCTCTTTTTTATCCTCTTTGGTATTTTTGTGTTACATCTTGTATAGTCTAATAACTTATTTATATTTTCATATGATTACCACGTGTATTTTAATCTTACTATTTTTACACGTTCCTTTTTTTGTTATTTGTTGTTTCACATGTGTTTATGTCTTTCTTATAAATTTGTCTTCCTGTTCTCTCCTTTTTAATTATCATATACTTTTATCTTCAACATGTCTGACAACGATTCTACTCCTCACTACTCTCAAACTTCTCGTGAATCTACTCCTTTCGTTACTCCAAAGAGGTAATAAAAGATTATTATTCAAAAATTCTTTTAATATCAAGAAGAGTTCTTGTGCTATGTCTTCGATCTTTTCTTTTGAATCTATCTATATGAGGGTAGGTTCGTATCGTTGTTCAAAGCATATCCTCTTTGTCATCTTTGTTCTGTCCGAGACGGATGTAATTTTGAATAAGTTCTTTTATTACTTTGCTTTTGCTCACATTCTTTTGTTATTTTGTAGTGCCCTTCCATATAATCTTCATAAAGTTGAATATGATATTCTTCAGATGCAAAGTCATCTTACTTCTGCTCAAACTCGTCTTCGTTCTGCTATTGAAACATCTCAAGATGACTTTATTCGCCCTTGTTCTGAGTGTGAAGTTAAAGATAACATTTTTAAAGAAATTCGTAAAATTATTTTGAATAATGTTCCTAATGCCTTTAAAAAGCATTCTACTATTCAACTCGTAAAAAACTTGTATTTTTCTTATGAAGCTTCTCAAGATAAAGTTTCTCGTCTTGAATCGGAAAATTCTGATCTTCAACAGAGGATCAAAAAGTTAGAAGAACTTTCTTCTAAATGATATTTTCGTCTCACTTCTTTCTTTATCATGTGATTTTTATTATTGATTGTTATAATGATATAATTTTTATTTAAGATCTTTTATTGTATCATTATTAAGTCTTTGTTACATAATTTAGTAAAATAGACTATTTATCATGTGTTAAATGTCCTTCATATTTGTTTGAAATCGCATGTTTCGTCGTGTCATTCTATCAATAATTATTTGTTAGTGTTGTACCTATTTCTTTCATTTCGATACCCTAATATTTATCGTTTAGATAGGTTTTCTATTCTCTTTCTTTCCTTTTCTTTTTCTAGTATCATTTCTAAATATTGTTTATTTCTTTTTCTTTTGATTCTTTTGTTATTTGATTTTTTCTTTCTCATCTTGGTACATTCTCATAATCCTTTCTTGTCCAATACTGGTTTGTTCTATTTATTTTGTACATACAGGTTAGTATATTATTTTTCTTCTTTTCTTATTACTTGTGTTTCATGGTATTACTTGTGTTTTATGGAACAAAGTCTGTATTTATACTTATGGCGAGTATATTTCAATTTTTTCTTATGATTTTTAAGCCTTTTTTCTCTTTATAGTTTTATTAGACGATAACGATTTCTATTAAATACATTTATTATTCGTTTTATCCATCTTATACCTACCATTCCTTGCTCTTTTTCGAGTCTTTCTACGATATCTTTATTAAATTCGTTATTATATTTTGTTTTTTATGTTGTTTTTCTTTTATCAATGTTATTATTCTGCTGTTTACAAATTATTATATACAGACTATATTTTGTATCTTTTTCATGTAAAACTGTTAAATACTATCACGAATCGTCTTCTAGGATTATAAAATCATACTATTATACAATAAATATTCATTATAATACTATTTTTTGGTTATTCTTATTTTTTTTATTATTCCTTTATCATCTTCTTAAATGTTCTTATTATGCTTTCTTGATAAATTCTTCTCCAGAAATCTTTATTCATTAATATCTTTAATTCTCTTTATAGTCTTTACTTCTTAAACATGTCTTTTGCTTTTCTTTCTCATAGTATACTTTTTGGGTTCTATTCTTTCAATAGTCTTTAACAGCTCATTATTTCTTTATCTTGTAAAAAGTCTTCTCTTACAAAGCATTCATAGAATACTTGCTATCCTTTATTGGTGGTTTTCTCTCTTCAATCCACCTTCTTTCTCGTTTAATAAGAATATTTCTTCGCACTCTTCTTTATTTCCATGATTTTATGATGTTTCGTCCTCATTCTCTTCTTCAAATATCGGTTTTCTTGGATTCTGATCTTAAGAACCCTTGTTTATTTTTCAATTTTAACTTTAGTTTCATAAGACGTTTTCATGTATTTTCTTTGATTTTCTTCGAGATATTTAGGAATTTCTTGTTTCTTGACTTTTTATAACACGAGCGTTTTTCTTTCATCTTTCGCTGGATTTCCTTTTTTGGTAAGTAGCTTCTTAAGAGAATGAGTTTCTTTTAGACAGCTCTTTCTTTTATATTAATGGTAACACGTCACGTACCTTGTGATCTTGTTTACTTATTTTGATTTTTAACGTTAGCCAATCAGATTCAAATGATCGTCAAAGGCTCTTTCAAATCCTTCTTTATATTGATAGGCTGAGATTAATTCTCTCTTCTATCTTTGCGAATTTGGTGTTATTCCCAAATCCCTATGGTGAGATTCAAGATATTTAAATTCATCGACTTTTGGATGAATTAGATTTTTTCTTTCCTATTGCTATTACCTTCAAATTATTTTTTGAAGTTTCCTTCACTTTTATTGGCAAAAACGCTTCTTTAACTCTATCTCTGTGGTCCAGTGTTTATTCACAATTCCTTTTCATTCATTTTCAAGGTTAGTATTTTTATGAATTTTCTGTGGAGAGATATTTTAAATTTCCTATAACTTTCTAATATTTTCATTTTTTCTTCTTCTTCTTTCTCTTGTACGATTAGAATCGCTCTAACTCCTCAAAAGTTCTTTATGTCCTCTTCAAGGGTATTATTCTCAAAATATTTATTCATGTATATAATTCATTTTTATCCAAATAGATTTTATAGTTTTCCCAAAATTGTCTCGCTTTTGATTTTTCTCTTCTTTTTGTATTTTCTTTATGAAAAAATTTCTTTTATTATTTTTTCAAATAGATTATCAAATGTATTTATATTCCAATAAAATTATTTCATATTATTTTTCATGATTCTTCAAAAAGAATGCAAGGATTTCCCTTAAAGTATTATAATTATTAGTACAAGAAAATATTAATTATTTTCTTACAAAGATATTTTCAAATGTTAGTCTGAAAATTTTTATCTCTTTTTTTATCCTTTTTTTATCTATTAATAAAAATGCCCACATCTTATAGTTGTTTGAAACCCATAATTTTATTTTTCTTTGAGTTGCGCAGATTTTTCCAAAATTTTTTGCGTTGTACTGTATATTTTTGCAAATAAGTATTAGATATACAATTTTTATTAAATACTTGTTTATAATAATATCAACAATCTTTACATATATAAATTAATTATAACTTATTGCAAATGTAAGGTAATACATACAGATTCTGAAAACCCTCATGGGAAAAGAAAAAAGTAAATAATAGCTAACTACTAGTTATATTATAAACCGGTATATATGTTCATTAGGAAGTAAAATATGAGTAATTTGATATAATTGGAAAATCAGGTTTTGGACATATTGGGCCTGGAAACCAGTTTGTTGTTATGATATAGCCTATAGATCTTTTTTATATTAGGGGCCTTGTTTTCAATATGGCATGATCATCTTGCACTGATCTTTTGGAGGGAGTAAGCTAATCACAATTTTTTGCTTTAGGTAGGAATTGGAAGAATAAACAAAAAGACCAACTCCATGAAAATTCTTCTTGAGTATATATAGATAATAATAATGTCAGGTATTCAGAATGAAAGCACTTGTTTAATATATACCTCTGATCAAATATTTCAGATAGAACTAAGGCTTAGCCATGCAAAACCTTATGCATATAGTCTATTGTATTAGAGAATTTTTATTTTCAATAATCTATTGTATCTCTTCATACATTCTTAGACTTCAGTATAGAAGCTAGTGATTATTAAAAGTACTTTTGGCAGCTTTTGTATAAGAATCACAACTTTCAGTTAAAATAATTTCATTATGGCCTTTTTCAAGTTAAGCTCTTTTAAACAAGGGAAGAGGTTTTTGTCAGGAGGCTCACATCTTTTGACGAAAGTGGCTTCAGTTTGAATAAGATATGTGCTTGATCAAGATAGGAGTATTGGCATTCCAAAGGGTTGATGAAATAGTTGCAGAGTAAGAAGAGAAAGACCTAGAAAGAAAACCTTCAAGAAGAAGAGAAAACAGTTTATCAGCAGGAAAGAGGATTAAGGAAAGAGAAAAGAAGGAAAGGGGAAAAAAGAAAACTGCTCTTTTGCTTGTGATTACCAGACATACACAGAGTTTCACTGCAGAAAAGATTGGCCAGCCCCAAAACCTTTCTTTTTCTTGTCTTAGACTTCTGTTATACACAGGTTTTTGGTCAGTTCATACTTTTCTAAGCAAGAGTACTTCTTCAAATGTGCTAGCCAGTACTACATATGTACAGTGGGTGGCCAAAAGTCACCAAACAGTTCAAATACCAATAGTAAATTTTTTTTTTTTACTAATTATATTTTTAAAAAAAATTTTTTTTTAAATATACATTATTTTATTAAT